ATTCTTCAGCCGTGGGTGTTGTTTCACTATTATCAGAATTTGGTTCTTCAGCTTTAGATGTTGCCTCAGTATTTTCTGAATTCGATTGTTCAGTTGTGGATGATGCTTCACCATATGCTGTAGTCACTTCTTCAGTTTTAGGTGTTACTTCAGTATTTGCTACATTTAATTCTTGAACGTCAGATGATGCTTCGTCAAGGAATGGATTTGATTCTTCAGGATTAAGTGCTGCTCCAGTACTTGCTATGCTGAGTTCTTCAAAATTAAATGATGCCTCAGTATTCACCGAACTTGATTCATCAACATAAGATGTTGCTTGAGTAATTTCCGACTTTGATTCTTCAGCAGTGAGTGTTGTTTCAATATTATCTGAATTTGGTTCTTCCGCTGTAGATGTTGCCTCAGTATTTTCTGGATTCGGTTCTTCAGTTGTGGGTGATGTTTCGGTACTTTCTACATTTAATTCTTCAACATCAGATAATGCTTCATGATATGTTGGATTTGGTTCTTCAGTTCTAGGTGCTGCTTCAGTTGTTACTAAATTTATTTCTTCGACATCAGATAATGCTTCGCCATATACTGGATTTGATTCTTCAGGATTAAGTGTTGCTTCAGTATTTATCAGATTTGATTCTTCAGCAGTGGATGTTGTTTCAATATTATTAGAATTTGGTTCTTCAGCTTTAGATGTTGCCTCAGTATTTTCTGAATTCGATTGTTCAGTGGTGGATGATGCTTCACCATATCCTGTAGTCACTTCTTCAGTTCTAGGTGTTACTTCAGTATTTGCTACATTTAATTCTTGAACGTCAGATGATGCTTCGTCAAGGAATGGATTTGATTCTTCAGAATTAAGGGTTGCTTCAGTATTTATCAGATTTGATTCTTCAGCAGTGGGTGTTGTTTCAATATTATCTGAATTTGGTTCTTCAGCTTTAGATGTTGCCTCAGTATTTTCTGGATTCGGTTCTTCAGTTGTGGATGATGCTTCACCATATGCTGTAGTCACTTCTTCAGTTTTAGGTGTTACTTCAGTATTTGCTACATTTAATTCTTGAATGTCAGATGATGCTTCGTCAAGGAATGGATTTTGTTCTTCAGTTGTTGCTACATTTAGTTCTTCAACATTAAATGATGCTTCATTATTTTCTGGCTTTGATTCTTCAGGATTAAGTGTTGCTTCACTGGTTGTTAGATTTACTTCTTCGACGTTATACAATGCTTCAGTATTTGTTGAATTTGGTTCTTCAATACTATATGATATTTCGGCATCTGTTTTGATATTTGAATAGATTGCTTTTTGGGGTCGATCAAGTTCTTTAATTATACTGCTTTCTTGTAAATGATAAGATATGCTTTTTGGATCTTTTGTTATCCATAGAGGTGAAAAAATATTGTTTTTTGTCGAAGAGAACTTGTGAATTTGAGTGATTTTCACTGTTGTTAGCGTCGTAACTGTTACGAAAAAAAAAGAAGCAAATATGTATATATAACCAAGAAATAAAAATAATCTTACAACCATCAATTTTTTTATCACATAATGGACCAAACCAGTTGTCTGAACAGACACATGTAAAGCTTCGATATGAATTTAAGGCTAATTTATACGACTCAATACATTTACCATGTGCGCCACATGGATTAATTGGTTTACATAAAGAGGATAGTGTAGGAATAGTGGAACTCCGTTGTATTGTCGAAGGTAATCGACTTGTTTCCCAAGTTGACATAACTAAAGAAAGAAAAATACAACATGTTTCTGATTTCCAAATATATTTTTTCATACACCGTGAAGGAAAACGTATTACAGCAAATGGCCAACTGCATGTCATGTGAATTCTGTCCCATATAAGATCACCACAAGAACGTAAATAAGCGTTACCAAATTCATCACATTGATAGTATTTATGAATATCTGTACCATGCGGATAAAAAAATGCATAAGAATTTAATTCACATGGATTGTATCGAGCATCATCGTTAGAAAATACTGTTCATGAAAATAATTGAATTTAGTTTTTTCCAAAAGTTTTTATTGAATTAACTTACGTGGTAATCCATTGATGAAAACAGTTGACAGAAGACAAGTGATACTTATTAAGAGATACATGGATTGAAGCATAGATTGCAAGGTGTATTTTTATATGAATGAATGTCCATTCACAGCTCATATAGAAACATTGTAAAAGAAATGACAAAGCTCATCCAGCTTTTACCTTCCTCATTGTTACGGTTCATCCTCTATTTTCCTTTCTTACATACATATACGCATACATGTACGATCTTTGTTTCATAAGAAATGAAAAATGATTGAACTACACATATGATATAGATGAATACACGAAGAACAAGAGAGATGACGGAATATATTTAGAGGATAACACTGGTTAGTGAATATGTATATGTCGTATCGAAGTTATTGGTACAAAGCTGAATGATATTATTATACGTAATACCTAAAGTTAATTTTGCTTCAAAACAAGCCACATTAATTTCATCAGAGACCAACAATCTAAAAGCGATTTAGAGAAAGGAAGATGATACGTACAAAACAAAGAGTGCAGTATGAAGTAGGGACGTAACGATGATGATGATCCAGTGTTCCATCGTAGTACTGGTACACCTAGTTCACTGCTCTGGACGCAGTATGATAGCTGCAATGGTGAGTTTGATGATTAAGACAATAGATGAACGCAGAGTACAACGAAAAACTAGTCTTTTTATACAGCGAACTTCTGCTAGCATAACGGTATTTGATTAAGTTTTATAAAATACCATTATTTTTGGAAAACATCTGTTCATTGACGAAAAATCATGTCCATAAATTTTGAGAAACCACTTATAGATTCGGATTCCTCGTGTCCGAAAACCTTTATTCAAGTTATATGAAAAAAAAAATGTTATTTTCATACAATAGGCACCCCTTGATGAAAAAATCGACTAGTGCACCACTACCGTTGCTTTCCTAGAACGAAATGAAAAAAATTATATATTGAGATTTTGAGTAAGTGTGAAACACTTTTTCTGCGTATTATTTTATAATTGGATTATAAATCTGGTCTCTATATGATTAATATTTGATTTACAAACAATCATATGCTTCCCACTAACTGTTAATCTGTACTTTAATTTCTAATTATAGCACATTAATGCTTTTGCTCATTTTTCTACTATTCAACTTTTCGTTTCCTAAACGAAACAAACATGAGTAAAACGACGATAAAATTTATTGTCTTGCTTTTTTTTTTAAAATAACTTGTAAATTGTTGATTTCTGATGAAATTAGTGTCGTTTGTTTTGCAAAAAAATTAACTTTAGCTATTAAATGTAATAATATCATTCAAATAATTAATTGTTTTAGCATTCAGCTTCAGCATATATATATATAGAT